GAGAGGATGGCTTTGGCTCAGAGTGGAGTTTGGAGGCCTCTATCAGGACTCATCTATGAAATTATAAAATTTTAAGTTTTAGGGAAAAAATTCAGGGAAAAGTCAGGGAATCGCAAAAACCTAATTATCACTGTGGCAACCATGGGTTTGTTTGTTTGCTGATTTTGTCTACCATTAATTTTTTTTGCTTTATCTGTATCTTGATAAGGTCATGGTCACAAAGAGAACAAAGGAATTTGGTAAATTTAGCTCTGTGACTGTGTCTACTATTGATGAGGAAGAAGAAGAAATTGAGCAGGTTAGTGAGCTTTGAGTGTTCCCAGATAATCTATAGAGGTAATCTGGGGGTGTATGTGAACCTTTTGCTTTTCAAACAACAAATTTACTTGAAAGATATCTTTTAAAGTTGTGAAACAGCTGGTATTTGAGTTTGGCACTGCTTGTACTGTTACAGGTTACTTACTTTTGGCAATAGAATACAAGGTCATCAATAAATGAGTTTCTTATGAGAAGCTCTGACCTCTTTCTAGTGAAGTCAGCAGAAATCAATGAAAAATCATCCCATTGCCCTGGAACTCTGATGAGACTGTTGGGATAGTAAGATGGATTCTGGATAAAATTTTGGCATGGTTCAATAATATACTGTATTGTTTTTTGGTATTTCAGTGGTTTAACATGCTGACCACAATGTTTCGCCTTGTTTTTTTTGTGTGTTTTTTTTCGTTTTAGCATGAAGTTGCATCATCATATGCTCACAATGCCCAGATAATTGAAAAGCAACTTGAGCGAAAAACAACCGCACAGAAAAGGGCAGCTATAGACCAGGTAAGAGTGTTAAAATTTTACCTTCCATGTAATAACTTTTCATTTTATAATTTCAATCTGCAAATGTGTCTTTTTTTTGTATTCAGTAATGCATGTTTGCCTTTTAATAGGTATTGTGCAAGTCACTTCTAAAGGTTGGAAGGGATTTGGTAGAAGGGGAGGGTAGACAGATAAAAAGGCAAAGACAGATGAACGAATTAGAGATCAAAAGCTCTTTCATTTAATTGATTTTGTTTGTTTCTTTTTATATTGCAGATTAAAGAGGATCAATCTAAGAAACCAAGAGGTACACTCATTGATCGAGACTAGTCTCGAGTGATGAATGTCATCCACCTCCAATTAAGATGTAACAAGAAGTGCCTTGCCGTAGTGGGCCTCAAAATCTTGTTGGAGATAAAGAGTAACTGGAAACAGATTATCATGATCAAATGCTTCAATATTTGATGACAACAGTTGACCAGTGGTCAGCAATTCCTTTTAAGTGTTGAGACTTTAAGAGCTACAGGTAGAGTTCGTTTCAGTCCAATTGTAAACTTTGGTAGCCGGATACAATGCACTGAAATTATCTAACAGTTACCCACAGAGTATTGTACAGAGTTTTGAGTTCTTGAAAGAGAACGGTTTATTTGAAGATCGTAAAAATTATTCACGAAGTCTTGAAAAGGAGGGAAAAATCTGGGGAGTTTCCCAAGCAGTGGCGCTAAGTACTTCGTCACTGCACAGTATGTGATAATTTTGAGAAGCTTAAAATGTTATAAAATACCTCGACACACACGTCGCGCATGCCCGTTGTTTAAGCACTGTGTTATTTATTACATCTCTTGCCTTTCATACGGAAGTACATAAAACGCAATTGTCTCCACAGACCCTATAATGGATGAACACCTTGATTGTTTTTGTCTTTAGTTTATTTATAGTCAATGTACAAAGGAAGCAATACTTTTTTAGATTAATTAAAAAAAAATTCCTCAATTTTTTAGCCTCTTTTGTTTGAAATTGTCACAGAGGCAGTTCTTAATCAAAATTATTGTAAGTTTGCTTTATGTACTAAATTAATTAACAAGCAAATGGAAAAAAGAAACACATTTAAAACAATTTCATGGCGATGTTTTTTCAATTCTCAAATTTAGTCGCCTTTGTCAATCAATAAAAGTTCAAAAGTAATACTACATGTGCGTGTTAAGTGTATTACGATATCTCAGATGTATTGTTATTGTTCAGCGGTGTTTTTTCATCAGGCAGGAGCACTTCCTTCAAAGAAACCGCCCTGTACTCTTTCGTCTTTTCGCGACGCTTGTAACTGACGTACACAGCTACGGCTAAAATTCCCGCTAAAACTGTTGCGCACACGCTAAGTGCAATTGCAGCGCCTTGCGACATGGGCTTGGTTTGGTCTTCTGATACCATTTCTTCCGAAGAGTCATCGTCGTCTTGAGTGGCAAACGAGGCAAGAGTCCAATCAGCATTCGAATTGTTCCTGTACCAAACTTCACCATTTATTCCAACAACCATTAGCGTTTTTGTTGCCTTTGGGCTGACTCCCGGGCGAGCATTGTAGGGAGGTCTTCTCACAGCTGTGCGAGAGAGTTTCGCTAAAGAGTTCGCCTTAACGCAATAGTTTATCTCACATTCATTGTCAACTGACAGGAGATGCTGGGTGTACCCGCGTGGGCAACTTTGTGGGCCATTTACTATACCTGCTAAGTTTCCCTTAGGAGATGTCTTGGGCGTGGTTTTTCCGCTTTTTTGCTGATGGTTCTTGTTGGGAACAGCGAGAGGATTTCCAGACGAACAACTGAAAAATCCGCCGAAACGCAGCGAGAACTGGTACCCGAGTTCATAATCATCACTCACGCAAACGTGAGAATGGCTTCCAAACGGCAACGCGTAGAACCTATGCGGGCAACTTTGTGCACCAGTCACAGGGTTCGGATCATGTGATGTGTAAACGCCTCCAAATAACATCCCACTGTTTTCGCCCACAGTCATCGCAGCAGCACACCAATAGGGTGCAATATATACCATGCTGTAATGAAAAATGTTTTGGCATGAAGTATGGCAGCAATCTTGTAACAAAAAAAATCCGCATGGACGACAAAGTTTGCGGCAGTGTGTATGGTGATACGATTTTGTTACTACCGGCCTTTCGCCTGACTGTGGTTTTAAAAGTTCCACGGCTTCGTATCCCTCGGGGCAGGAAAAATCGCCCGTAAGGGGGTTTTTATGCTGTAACTCATCGCATAAGTTTCCCGCTGAGTTGAAGCGACTTGCGTAGCATTTTTGATACACTCCCCCAAATGTAAAATTTGTTTGTGTTGCGTGACAACTGCCGTCATTGACGTTCGCATCGAAGTTGAATCTGGGCGACGTCTCGTCAGTACATCCTGCAACAGTATTTACTTTGTAATATAGGCGAGCAGCTCGCTGAACAATCTTAGCCAAGCGGAACACTGTTGGTTCTGGTAAGCTAGGCAGAGTGGCGCTGTTGATAACGTAGTAAAGGGGGTCGCCGCTTCTGTCAATAGCAACTAGCTCGTTCGTTAGACTGTTCTCCCAGTTTTGGACACTAAACTTCGATCGGTACGGTGGACCGCCATAGGTTAATACGCGTGAAGCGGTCCGACTCTTCTCAAACTTGTGAACGTTCTCGTTGCTTACATTGTGTCCGAAACCAGCGCCAAACTTAAGAGACCGAAAAAAGGTTGCTGTTGCGGCTACTTTTAAATCGTGTGCAGAAAGCGATTTGTCCTTGAGAACATTTTCTTTGATATGAGTTTCTTGAACGAGCGCTGCACCAGCATCAACAGAGGTTATGATGTGAGTACCGTATTCCCTGACCAGTAACTGCGCGCTGTACCACGCTTGTTTCGTGCGATTGTTCTGCAACTCAGCTGCGATTTGCATCAACCTGCTTTTAAAGACAGGATGCAGACTTGACTCGGGATGCGTTTTTACCACGTACATGAAATGACGGAGTTGAACTCTCGTTGTGACAGCCTTGTCGCCAACTTGCTTTTCTTTGTTGTATTTAAAGTCCTCAGCAAAGGAACCGCTTACAACTGAGTAAGATGCGTGGAGATTGATGGAATGAGCAGTCGTGCTCGTGTAGCTATTCCAGCGGTCAAAGACCTCTGAGGACATGTCCACTTTACTGCGTTTGACAGGAATTACGAAAGCGTTATCGGGTAAAAGATATTTTCCGTCCGCGGTTGTTTTACACCGGGAATAATTTGTGGCCAGCACTTGCCCCATCTCGATATTTAGCAAGTTATCCCAACCGAAGCCAGGAAGAACCTCGAGAGTGTTTACGTCGTGGAAAAAGAAGCAGAATTTTGGATCCCCGACTGGATATTTGTTCCACCAAGGCAATGGCGGCCAAATTGACTTGGTTTCCATTGCTGGTTGTGTAGCAATGGCGGGCTTACCTGAGTGAAGATCATTGCAGAAAGACCTCGTCATATATGAAGTCAATACAGAAATGGCGCAAAGATACACCGTTGACATCGCCATGAAAATCCAGTTTATTGAAAATCAATGCACAGAATGTTATGCGTAGAAACCGGGACATGACTTTGTACTTGTCATGTTGAAAAACACTGTGCAGCTTAAGTCCTTGCGGTTCATTGTGTGACTGTAGTAGACAACCCGTGGAGTGAAAAATTAAATATGTAAGCAATTGCTATGTATCTTTTTGCGCTAGGGCTTGGAAAAGTCGTAAAACCTTATTAAGATACGCTTAAAAGCCCTAAATTACAGTAATTGAAACAATAAGATGATAAATTTTAATTTTTTTGATAATAAACGCCGCTGATCATGAATGAGTTTCTTCTCTTTACCAGCCGTAGACAATTTTGAGAAGGTACCAAAGTTCGCCCTACACATTATACGCGTACGGAGAATAAGAACCTACTATTTTCCTAAGCTATATGTTCAGTTTTCCCCACCAGGATTTGTAGAATTCGGTTTTTTTTTTTCTTCTTTTAACAGGAAGAAATTCACTCTTAAAAGTCCTCCCACTCTCGGAGGGGTTCCCGCATGAAGCCGGGGTCTGGGCACGTCGCGCTAAATACTGGTCACGCAACGGAGTTTTGCGTGACGAGCACAAACCAAGACCTCGACGTTTGAGCAGCTTTCTTTCTTCACGGTTATACTATGACCCCTGGAATCGAGATGGAGGGCGGTTAAAACACAAGTTATATGCGAAGAATAATCTAAAAGCAACTCAGTATTCTCTTATGACACGTTTTAATATCCAATACCTTACTGTCATTTTTTGCTACTCAGATACGTTTGTTCAATAAAAGTTTACGTGTCATGAAAGACATGGCGAAAAACCTCTTCCTCTTTTTTCATTTGTTTGTCTGGTTGCTTTATTTTTTCCCCATAAAATTCTGCTCTATTTAACACCTCTTACAAGATAAATTATCGACCAATTCTTGATAAGCGTTACACTCTCATTAAAAACCCATTGCATTATCAAGTTGACGTTCAGAGAGAAAATGTCACAATTGAATTAACAAATTCCTCTAAAGTTCCTTTAATTTACTTTTTGCTTCCATTCATAGACACAGAGGTCAGATTCCAGGAGCTAGAAGCCAACCTTGTCTTTGAATTACGTTACCTCACATGTTTCTCCTTCCATATCATGCTTTGAAGATCTCGAAAATACGCAAACAGCTCTTACAGCTATCTACGAATTTCCTCAGATTGACCGAAAAAGGTGCGACAATCCACACGTCGTAGTGAATAAGTTGTTTGGTAGAGAGAAGGTTATAAGTGCTTGAGCTGCCTGATTTTGACTAGGGCCTTCCGCTGTTGTCAGTTCGGTAAAGCTTCGCTCGAGATGTCTCTTTGCGCGTGAGCATCGTTTGAGCGAGTGTGCAGTCAATTCAGGAAGCCCACCGTATTTAGCAAAAAAAACTTTATGAACGTCCGACCAACTGTAATAGATTGTACCTCTCTCATTTCGTACCTCGCGCACACCAGAGAAATCTCCTGCGGCTAAATTCCAAGCCCTCTGGATTCGCCCAAGAGGTAACTCGCTCACTTTGATCCGTAGAAACTTCTCCCTGTGGTTCCTGATCCACGATGGAAGCTCTGGCGCACTGGTATTCAAAGTGATCCATGTCCATAGCCACCCGGGTAGATACCCGTATTTTCCCGACGAGTAAAATCTCTCAGATAGATAAATCTTAGTCAAAGTGCGAGACATTGAAACCAGCCGGTAGATATCGTAGAATGACTTAAAAGGACGTTTTATTCGAAGATCCAGTTCGAAGTCTCGTCGAAGGCGTTCCTTCCATAAAGGGTCGCTAAATCTGACACCATCACGAAGTCGTCGACAAGTTTTACTGAGTCGTATAACTGATCTAGCGTCCATGTATGTCGAAACGTATAGAAGGATTTCATTACTCAGACTCGTGATGTAGCAATTGTTTTCTTCAGCTTCCTCACCGAAAGGCAGAGCTTCCTCGCTTGTTGACGCCTTACGTCGGAAAGAAGACGCCATAAAATTGGAAGAAAGGCTATTGCCACTGGTGACAAATTTGCTCTTCGCCTGCGCGATTTGCGATCGTTAGAAACAATTTACTTTGTACATGTCACAAGAACTCGCCTGACGATTTATTCTCATTGGATGGCATTAACTGGAATAATGAACTCAAATTGTTTTATATTGTTTTTGACTAATAATGAAATAATTTCTGTGACGTCGCAGCTTAATTATAGACGGAGAAAACCCAAAGAACTTAATATGACCTCTTGATGAGTACACTCATCCGATCAAAATGCACAACATGTGTAAATTGGCCAGAGTTCTGTTGGAGTATGCTTCCTAATTCACGTGCGCGCGCTGTGCTGGTGATACAATTATGACGAAATTATTGAGCAGAGACAAGCCGCCGTCAAACAACTAAGAAAAGAATGGCAGGCCCATCCAAACCTTCTATTCAGGGAGGAGCTATCATTGCGAAGAACTATCGTCTCCTAGGAAAGATTGGCGAGGGATCTTTTGGAGTAATATTTTTAGGAAAGAACGTCGAAAGCAGGGAACAAGTGGCGATAAAAATCGAGGCAAAGGAATCTAGCCAGCCTCAGACGCTACCAGAAGAAGCGCATTTGCTTAACACGTTGCATTCTACAAGCATAGACGGGATTGTGGTAGGCATAAACTTAAAAATTCATAACCAAAGGAAATCTTAGAGGATTGCTTGTCATGGTCCAATATTTGGCAATTAAAACTTCATAGATGTTGTGTCCCAGCTAATTATTTCTGGGAGTGTAGTAAGCGTTCGCGGACTGATCATACTTCCCTCATGAAACTTTTTGAAAGCAGCGTGGATCTTGATTGTGGAGAACCAAAGGCTCTTAGCAAAACTCGGCCAAAAAGTACATTTCAAAGGTCGCTTTGAAATCAAGCGATATAAGGTGCTTATCATATTTTTCTTCGCCTTCTCTAGGAGGGCTTTCCACAGGTACTATGGTACGGAAGAGAGTCGAATAATAACATTTTAGTCATGGAGCTTCTTGGAGCTAACTTGGATCAGCTGTTACATAAAGTATCAGGGAAGTTTAGTTTAAAGACCGTGATACAACTAGCTGATCAGATGATTGACAGGATCAAATTTGTTCATGAGAACGACTATGTGCACCGTGATGTCAAGCCGGAGAATTTTCTTATGGGTCGAAGAGACAAAACGGATAAGGTAAGCAATCATCCAGAGACATGCGTACAATTCGTTCTTTCAGGAGTGCTTATTGTGTTTATATTGCAAACGGAACACAATGGGCGACGGGATGTGAGGAGGTGGGACAATCCGAGGAGACGAGTGGGGAGCGTGCCACAGCAAAGATTACGGCCAGCCGTCAAGCTGAATTCTTGTATACTTGAAAATATAATATAAGATAGTTACAATACAATAGGATGTAAACGAACGTGTAACAAAATAAATCAAATAGACACATTAAAAACGATATAAAATGAAATATTAAAAAAAATTAACGATAATAAAAAATGAAAGGAAATAATGATTTTAAAAAATAGTTTTTTTCAGATTGCATTAGAATTCTATTTGACTCGCTGTAATAAGAAAGATGAAGTCTTTAGATCTTTGTTGACCACAAACTCCTGCACAGTTGGAGAGACATCAGCACCATAGTTTGGGCTTTCAGAGCGATATGTTGAAAAGAAAAGGATATGCCTGAAATGGTGCCCTCGTGTGTCAAATAATGACTTGTCGTTAGCACTTCCTGCCTTGATGGGAATGCTTGAGTAGAAGTCATCTTCTTTATGCGCATGCGATGTACTTGAGTGTCGTATTTGTCGGTAATTCAAACTCTGACTTTACCACCAGTTTTTAAATCTCTTTCTTTATTTTAGGTTTACTTGATTGATTTTGGACTTGCCAAAAGGTTCCGAGACAAACGTGGCAAACACTTGCGCTTTCGACAAATAGAAAATCGTGAAATCACCGGAACAACCCGATACGCAAGCATCAATTCACATAAAGGCATGGAGCTGAGTCGAAGAGATGATTTAGAATCTCTTGGTTATGTACTGTTGTACTTCTGTAAAGGTTCTTTACCATGGCAAGGCCTTCAAGCACGCAATGATCAAGAGAGGTTTAAATTAATAAAAGAGGGAAAACTTTCCATTTCTGTAGAATGTCTTTGTCACGAACTTCCCGACGAATTTAAAGATTACCTAAACTATTGCAGGGGATTAAACTTTGAGGACGAACCAAATTATGAATTTATAAAAGGTCTTTTTAAACAGCTGGCCTCGAAAATTGAAATTGAATACAATGGAGTGTTCGATTGGGATCAGAAGGCAGCCATAAGTAATTCTAAGGACACTGAACAATTAGAAACCCTTGAGAGAGAGAAGTTCACCTCTAAGTAATGTAACAATAGGTCTGCATTTTGAAATTCACAACTATAACTACATGTTAATGTCTCTCTCAGTGGATGCTATGTGTATTTATTTATGTATTTTGCTTTCTTTTCGAGTGATGAGAGAAAATTAATGAAAATTCGCGACTTAAAATTGGTTTAAGTAACTGGCCGTCTTCCTCCGAGGTGAACCAATTGCAAGTGGTCATTTGCACGACTGAAGTATAAATTACCTCTTATGTTTTCACATTCTGAGCTGTCAACACTTTATTCTCGACCCAATTTTGTCTTCCATTGACGCTTGATTTTACTTGATACGCGAGTCTACCATGAATAAAATCATGTGTAAAGCTATAGCGCAGCGAATTCTCAAGGATCGAGGTATATCCAACAAGAATTCGATAGGAGCTACAGAGAAACTGTTTTCAAATGAATGTCGAACCTTGGACGTGCAATGACTGATCGGTAATGTAATTTGATATCGTGTTAAGTGGTTATAGAAAAGTAAATGCTCTTCTCCTGAGTTTTCCGGTGCATCGCGGAGGACTCTATTCCTGGGGAAATCAGTACGGACAGTGCAATCAAGCTATTAACAACACGAACCACATCTCGGATACAATGTTTCGGAAATATGCTTGAAGTAAAACCGATTTTGGATGCGAATCTGCAAGTCCTCTCGATAGAGTTGTCGCCAGATTACCATTTGAAGACAAGAAAAGGTGTTAATGACATGCTATTAAAAAAGTGATTTATGTGTAATAATTTAATTCTACAAGTGCAAACGACTTATTCGAGAGATAATTAATTTTTCGATTTCGCCCGTTAATCACTTGACGGAAACGGATTGAGAAAGCGTTACTCATTCGTAAGTGAAATCAAAAAAGTATTTCCTTAACTCAAAGTGACGGAGATTACTATGATTAAGTTGCTTTAAAATCCAGACAAAAGACGACAACGTAATTAAAAACGTCGTAGTATTTGAGGTCACTTTCTGTTGCTTTAACGTTTGCCAAGCGTGTGAAAAGTAAACATTTGTTACAGTACAATAACTGTTGCGGAAAAGTCAATAGCAGGCTACAGTGCTCAGAAATACACAAGAGCAATTCGAAAAGCATCAAAGAAGCGTTGCGCGTGAGTACGTGAAACTAAATGACATATTTCCTTCGTCGCAAATGACGTAGATTAGGATAATTAAGTTGCTATAAAATCCAGCAAAAACCGAAAAACGTTTTTAAAATAATCTCAGGAATTGAGATAGAACAAGAAATCGCTCTCACTGACATGTGCGCCAATTGGGAAAAAGGTAAACGCTAGCTTACCTCACAGTAATTGTCGCGAAGTCAACAACAGACAACTTTGTGCCGATAACGCAGTCAGGTTCAAACAGAAACATTGGATTAGGCTTTTCACATGGGAACACTTTTGACAGTTTGTATTCTTTCAATTATTAATGGATTTGCGTCCATCGCAGGAGCGATCGGAAACATCCTGGTCTGTTGCGTTCTATACCGAAACGAGGAATTACAAACAGGTGTGAACTATTTCATCCTAAACCTTAGTGTGGCGGATTTAACGGTGTGCACCATCGCTCAGCCGATGTACGTTTATTATTTAAACCAGGAGTGGAGCGCTAAGAACTTTGCAACTTTCAAGCTTGTCTCGTACTTTCCTTTGCATTTTTCCTTCTCAAATCTGCTGCTACTTACGGTAAATCGTTTATTCGCTGTCTTGTATTCTTTCCGATATGGGACGGTTATGCGTGGTAAGAACGTGGCAGTGATCGTGTGCTTAGCATGGGGAGTTTCAGCTGTCCTGGCAATCGTGTTTGCTGAGTCTCCCATTCAAGAAACCGCTCCGTACTTTCACCTGGCAATGCTGCTCACGTTTCTCACAATATATTTGAAGATTTTTTGTATCGCCGAGAAGAAACGCCGTCAGATTGTCTCGCAGTTTGAGTCTGTTTCTCATAACTACAGAGTTGCCAAGGTCGCTCAAGATTATCTAACGACGCGCACGCTAGCAATTCTAATCTGCGTTTCTGTGGTCCTTTTTCTTCCCGATTTATGGCTCCAACTTACAGGAAGCGAAGACTCCACAAGATTTTACTGGTCTTTCACGACGATGTTTTTAAGCTCATTTTTAAATCCTTGTGTGTACGTTTGGAGAAGCGGAAAGTTTCGGTCGGCGCTGTACAAGACGTTTGGTTTGTCTCGAGCGAAAACCAGGCTTGTTAGGCGTAACCAGGTTAAAAGGATAAAAAACATAGATGGCGTATTCGGCTCATTGAAAGTCATAGACCTAGAAGCTCTTGAACACAAATAATATTTCGTTACAAAAGAAGAATAAATAAATGGTTTTCGAACGTATTTACACCCTCCTCATAACTTTGACTTTTCTCGATAAATGAAGAAAATACAAAAAGTGATTTAAGGCGTGTGTTTGTACGTTCTTAATTTAAAGTGATTGTGCCTTGTGTGTTGCATCTAAAAATACTTATGGGCAAAAAAGACCAAAGATCTTCACAAATTTTTCATCAAAATAGTGGGTAATAAGACAAGAGAGCTCTGAAGTACTTTTTATCAATATTAATTTTATCATCGTCATTATTGTTATCATAACAACATGATAAGTTATCATTTGTAATTTTAATTAATATCAGCTCGATAAGAGGAAAATGCACTGGTCTGCGGGTCCAGTGGTCCTGTAGTCCACTGTTCCTCCTTTTACCTTCTTTCCGTTAGGAGGATATCGAGTCAAGAGATTATAAACTGTCTAATAAATAACGTTTTTTTCATTTTTTATTTTTAATCGAGGACTATGTTCATATAAAGCTTGCTAGAAGAAATTTAAATTTTCCATTAATATCGCTTCTTATTTCTATGCGGATTAACAGGCAGAGCGACAAATCAGTTTCAATCAGATGGTTCTAGAGCTCTTTATAACCAGAATTCCGGCTTAAACTAGCCCTTTTTAAATATACGAGATATCATAAAATTATATTTTTGCTCACCTGCTATGTTTCTAAGCCAAAGTTATAGACTACCACAAACACTGTAGACTTAAAGCCTTTTTTTAATTTATTTTGATTAATTTCATTTTATCTAATTTTTTCCTTTTTAAGAAATACTAAGCTCAAACTTTCATTATTACAAGACACGAGCGGATCCAGTTAAGACACCGAATCTCCTGCATAGGTTTTTATCTTAAGTTAATCCCTCTATACTGATTTTAAGATTCCTCCTGCCGTGATGCTGCATTTTTTTTTCGCGCTGTCGACGTTAGTGTAAACGAAAAAGGCATCTATATATGACAAACAACGTCACACATAGAACTCAATGCAATTAGTTGTCCGTGGCCAACTTCGAACTCATATCAGGCTCTTCTCTTCAAGAGAGACCCCGTAAAAAAGGTAATAAATAAATAAAAAAGCGAAGGAACAAACGAACGATCGAGGCCAAACTTTACAACATTTCTTAAGTCTTTCAGATTCCAGTAGGTCCCCACACATTTATATTTTTGTATCGAACAATTAAAGGAAGTCGCTGAGATGGAAATATCAGACAGGTAAGCGGAGAGGACATCAGTGATCAAAACCCATGCTTACAAGATCACGGCCGCTGGAATAAACAAACTACAACACGTCTTTCGTACTGAGCTAAGCTTGACTTTAACATTGAAAACGTTCAATTGCGGAGACTTTGTTACCCTGTCATCCAGATCTTGTTTTTAACTAACGAGGACGTGACTTTTAGAGGCATTTTCATCGACGTCTAGAAGTTAATAACGCTGTTTTGACGTTTTGACAGAGATAAATGCTATGCTGGAGCGTGTGTGGCAAAAATCACGTTAAAAACATTACGTCGAATGAGTGAATGGAGGTGGTTGGGATAAAATCAGTTTTAAAGTGAACAATAGACGAGGTGTACCCAATTTTTAGAATCTCACTGGAAAGCTTTCACAGCTTTCGTGGTTTAAAGGCAGAAATAAGAAGAATCCAATGAAGACAAATTGTAGATTTTTTATTTTCAAATTACAGCTTCTTCTTCTTTTGTATAGTTCTAGCTACTGCCTCGGTTAAAAACTCTATACGCTATTGGATCCAAATCTACATGTCACTTTTTCTGGTTAAAATTGCTTGAAAAAATTCTGGGTAAAAGAGACTTTCCAGGGTTCAACTCAGAAGAATCTATCTTTCTCGGTGCGCTGGCTTTTCATGACAAAGATCAAGATGGCGATTCTCTGAACCGATTCGATTCCGATTTGATTCGCACTGATTCGCTCAAACGAAGGGCTAAAGCTCGAAAGTCAGTTTTAAAACCCTTTACGGTGGCCAGTTTACGTTATCAACTCAGTTGATAATACTAAGGTACCCTGTTATTCTCTACCACCGACGCAACATTACAGTTTCTATAGAAACTTACCCCTTTTATTATCTGCATTATCCGCTATACCCTTCTTGAGATCGTTTAGCTTTGAGAATTTGGCATCGAAACAAACAAAATTCCCTCGTTCAAGCTTCTCCTCTAATTTTTCGTCTTATCACCTTAACGCTGGAAAGAATATAGACATGAAAGGCAAAACTCCAATTCGGTCACCCCTGGGAATAAAATGGTTAAAAAAAAAAAAATTTTAGGGGCATGATGATCAAGCCGAACCCTCTAAGCTCATTGCTAAATGATGATTTTATCGACCGAATGACGTCAGGTCAAATGCCATGGAAATGGTAAAACATTTGGATAAAATTGGTTCCTTTTTTTAAAAGCAACAAATTCTTTAGCCATTGGAGAAAAAGAATTTGAATAGGATTTGCAACGAGAATTCTCATTTAATTCTCATGCGAATCACATTCAGCCATTTTCTATCACAAACCGCTCTCTGGTACTTCGTGTTTTTGAAAGGGAACTTGACATTGTCTCGAGATGTAATACAATAGCGAACTCAGGGAAACAGAACTAAACTGACATTAATTGTCTTTCATTTTAACGCTGCTCTTCTCAAAAAAAACCATAAATATTACACGAAGTTATTTATTGAAGAAATGTTCCTTTAACTCTCAGACGGCAGCGATATTATGTTGTATTCTTGACTTGAACGGCAAGCCACGGTTTCTCATCATCATATTTAAATGTGTGACAATTCCGGACTGATTTTTGCTCAGTAGTAAAGTAACACTCTAACCAACACATATTTTTACTCAGGTCGTTTCATTCTCAGTCTGTACTCATTCCAACAAGCGTTTTAATTCTCAACCTTTTCCTTTCGTTGGTAAATAGAAGCACTATTCTTTGAACGGTGCGCCTTCCTCTATCACTCATCCTAATCGCGATCTAATCAACAGCAACAACAAAATCAATTTGGCTAAAAAAACAACAGTAATTTCATCTGGAACGGCACTGAAAAGCAACAACCAACAGCTGCGGGACTCAGGCTTGGACTTCGGAACTTTTTATCAAAGAAAAATCTAAATAACTGTTAATGAGGATGGTTTGTTTGTTCACGTACATGAACTCAGAGCAGCGAGGAGAAAATAAAAACACTTATTGTCAGAAACAGAAAAAAATTCTCATGAAAGAACCAAATGACGTGCTAAAAAAACGTTACTGTCCCCGGTAAAGCCTACCATATAACCATATATGCTAAGTTCAACCTTAAGTTATGTGGAGAAAGATGCTTGTATGTTTAAATGATTGGAATATTTTTTTAAAAATTTTTTACAATAGCGCCAGCGAAATTTGTTTACTGAGTCGATAACTTCAAAGCGACCAGAATGGCTTTTATTTTTTCCGATACATAGCTGCCGCGTTTTTCTTAAACGAATATTATCAAAATTTATCTAGATTTTATCAAAGGTTATGGGCATTGTAAATATTATCATCCTGTCTATTTACTTCTGAGACGATAGAAATATTCAGAACATGACGAAGTGTCAAACTCTGCGGGAAAAATGCACACTGAGAAGCTCTGATTATGCAAAGACATGGATGCAAAAGTGAAGCATCTCAAAGATGACACTGATGCGTTGCATATCAAAAGACCCTTGAAAGAGACTTTGAAATATATTTTTAATTTTTTCTCCATTTTGCCGCGAGTTTGGAAATGAAGTAGACGAAATTATGACATGCCTTGTCTACCATCACTAAAATTAGGAATTGCCTCGATCAATTTTTCTATTTTATCTCAGCATGTAGGACTGCATGTAAGGAAGTCGGAGGCGAAAAAAAATCGAATGCCGGCTAAACGCTTGTGTGTAGTATTGGTCTCACGTTTACAGTTTTTAATTAAATTCCCAAACATGATTGATTAATATCTGAGTGATTTTTACAAAACACAATCGATGCCTTGTCAAAAAAAAATTATTTGTGGCAGCAAAGTTTAAGCACAGCCATTACTAAATAAACTAAACATTGCATCTTCTTTTTATCCTCAGTGAGAAATTGAGTTCAGGTCAAAACAGCGCCTACTAGTTAAGAAGATTACATCGCATGGAGAAAAATGCTGTACTGCTTTAATTAAAGCTTCAGGGAAGTCTGCCAACATCATATTTCCTGTCAACAGGCAAACAGAATCATATCTTGGTTAGAAAAAAAAAAGAACGGTTGACATCAAACCACCTTTCTCATGCCAAAGAACTCGAGAGATCTACGTAAATCAAAGCGTCAATCTGTTCGTGCAAGCTGTTTGTGTTCATGGCGAGTGCTACTATTGAGATTCTCTCCATTGTCAATGGGTTGTCGTCAATTGCAGGAACCGTTGGAAATCTGCTGGTTTGCTTGGTAATATGCCGTAACGAAGAATTGCAAACAGGTGTGAATTACTTTATTCTGAGTCTCAGTGCGGCAGACTTAACAGTGTGCTTCATCGCACAACCGACCTATGTTTACTATTTGAACCAACCTTGGAGCGCACGAAACTTCGCCACTTTTAAGCTCATTGCGTACATAACTCTGCATTCGTCGTTCCTCAATCTTTTGTCTTTGACGTTGAATCGACTTTTTGCTCTGTGGTTTCCATTTGGATATGTGATTATTATGCGTGGTAGAAACATCGCTGTGATTGTCACAATTGTGTGGTTGGTGTCAGTGATCATGGCAATTGCGTTTAGTTTATCCCCAGTTTTAAAGAGACCTGCGCCATACTTCCATGTGGCGATGCTCCTTACATTTGCGTTCACCTACATGAAGATTTTCTGCATCGCCAGAAAACAACGACATCGAATAGTTGCACAGGTTAGGTCTGTCTCTCATAATTACAGAGTGGCTAAGATCTCTCAAGATCAACTCACGACGCGAACATTGGCAATTCTGATCGGCGTTTCATTGATTCTCTTTCTTCCCGATACGTGGTTTCAACTGGCGAGGAGCAGCGACTACACGAGATTTCGCTGGTCTTTCACAACGATGTTTTTGAGCTCATTTTTAAATCCTTGTATCTACGTGTGGAGAAGTGAAAAATTTCGTCTCGCCTTATACAAAACGATTGGCGTTTCTCGCCGAGGTCGCCGATCAATTGCAAAGGTTAATTTTAACGCAATTGAGCAGGTGAATATTAACAATAACTTGGGTGAAATTTTTGGGAAGGAAAACAAAGACAGTAGAATGCCCTCCATAAAGGTTGAGGCATTAAAGCCAAACTGAAGACTTGAATGACAAAGTACATAGCCCACATTTTTCCTTATTTTTATTATTTTTTTAACTTTCATAGTTTAAACTACAACATTTTACAACATTTCAAAAAATGTTTTTGTTACCATAATCATTTTTCTGTCGAGGGTATCGAGTAAATTATTCAAACCCTTTCGAATTGCAACTAAAAGCACTTAGTGGGATGAATATTTGCACAAATATTGGCACTTAAGAGACTATTCCAGAGGTCTTCATTCACTCGGTCAATTAACGATGTAGAAAACAAAGAGAACCGGTAGACGTAACAACCAGGAATTGCAATATGTATAAATTTAAAGCGCTCTTCTCTCTTGACGTAAACGGAAGACCATGTGGTAAATAATTTTTTTTCTGTTTTCAATTCTTGCCCACGCCTTGATTAGTAAAATGAAAAAAAATGTAACCGGCTTTTGGTAGACTATATCATTCCTTGAGCTCACAAATTCATGTTTCTCATACTGTTTGACACTATTTACTTCGATTGACGTCTCAACTGCTCATATTCATTTCTTAAGGCATTCTGTTCGTCTTTCTGTCAAAATATTTAATTAAAAATTAGATTTCCCAGAGTCGATGCTCACGTTTCAATCAACGACCCAAGCGTTTACTTTGCCTTTCGACTGCCAAATGCAGAAAATGGTTTTGTAATTCATTTTTGTAACCAACGTTCTGTTATGAAAGAGCATGCTCTCCTGGCAATTGCCTAGTAATTGGAAAAAGAATCATTTGCAGATTTAGACAAGTCATTTACGTGGCAAAGCCACTTATGAACTCTTCTTTTTCATAAATGAGTCAGCGTTGTTTTAGAATTATATTGTCTTTTATCAGTTGATGCAAACATTATAACAAATGAAAGCAGGCGGTAATAAATTTTACTATTGCTGTTCGCCGTTTTACCGTAAAGTTTCACCTTTGAAAAGCAAAACTTGATCAATAAACAAAAACCTTAATTGGTGCTAATCATATAGAAGCAGTCGAGTGCTGTGTTCAGTGCACTAACGTTCATTATAGAAAGCCTCTGATCATACTATTACCTGTTACAAAAAAAGACTACAGCGCATTTCAAGACACCCTTTTTTTTGCCGCAGCATCTTTTTATTGAAAAAGATTGCGCTGAGGTATCCTAATGACAGAAATGAGAATCAGCGTGGAATTGTGGTCACCGATGAATTGTGAGCAGTATCCGCTTTACCCTACAAAATTTTTGCTTTGACGAGGGGTTAACGCTCGAAACTTCAACATTATACACTCTTTATGGTGGCCAATTTACATTATCACCTTATTTCATAAAACCAAAGTTATTTGCAAAGCCCCCACTAACGAGGCGCCATAGTTTCTTGAGAAAAATTTCCCCTCTATCCATTTGCCCTATAACGATTGTATTAAAATAGAGTGGTCAAATGTTGTGGCGATTATGAAAGTTAAGGATTTCGATGTGAGCCATTGTGGGTATTCTTCGGGAAATTAAGACAAGCTTGTAAGCTATCTGGCTTTCGAAGACGGTTTAGCTCAGGTTACTACATTTAATGCCGTTGTGTAATGAACTTTTAATCACCTTGCTTCTATGTGCAGTTTTGTTATTGTTTTATTTTTTAATTATAAGTTTGGATCACGTCTTGAGAATTGAAAAACCTTTAATGACTAGCAGCATCTTGACCATGCGCGGGTTGTAGCCATAAATGTAGGCTCGATAGCTATAGTCTTATTAAAGAAGAAGGAAATCGACATGTCTGGGACAATTTTGTTGAAGTCGAATCAGAATCGAAATCAGAATCAGAAAGTGCCAGCAGGTACATATTTGAATCCCCTCGGGTCTTTCTAGTCTTTCAATCCGTTGCAAGGCAAAGGTAAAATATGAGAGCCTGCCTTACTTAAAGAATTTCAACTAAGTCAAGGACCTGCGTAGGCGAGAGCTTTCCTTCGTCACTTTACCACTCATATACCATTGCCTCCTTGATCAACTTTGCTGCAGCCTCTTTACAGCGCACACAAACTCTTGTAGATCCCGTGATTAACATTATTGGTACAAAGGATAATAAACAAGAGTTGAACCTTAGCATCTTGGTTAAGGCATTAAATTTACTGCATTTGAGCTACAACTATTGCAATCAATAGGGTTACCTTTTCAGGTTATATAAATACGAAATGAAAAAAAAAAAAATAAAAAAGGTTGAAAACTACCATCATTGAGTTTATTTTTTCTCCCATGTGGGTGGCGTACGTGAATGTCAAAAACAATTATCGACATCAAGCTTTTCATTATTATTACTATTATTTTTAATTCTATGCCTTCTTTGAATTTCAAAACTATTGAATTTATCAAATTTCGCAGCTGGTCAACTCGATCTTCAATTTTGAATGCTTTGTTGCGCAAATAGTGCCGATAATACCAGCAAATGAAAATCCTTTTTTTGGCCATAGTGAAAAGTTCTCAGTTGCTTTGTTTTACCAGTTGAAGATTTTGAGTGAAAGATTTCGAAGAATGTTTATTCATATTATCAAATAATTTGTCATTCACTTTGTAATACCTCAACTCATAGATCAACATACTTATTCAAATCTTGCTTTGCTTTCTTTGTTGCAAGGCACGTAAGAAGTCTTTGAATGCACTTGCAATTAAACAAAGCCTAGGTCTTTTTATTCCTGTATATTCAGGCTCAACAAACCGTTCGACATATGCCTCACGAGGGTTCTTTAAAAAGCCACATATCACAGAGAAGATTCGTTTGAGAACATTGCTGTTTGAAGATGATTTCGCTAATTATATTTGCCCTTTTGGGCATCTTTGAGCCATCGTTTACGGAGGGTAAGTTCAGGGTTTTGAAAATTGGTATGAAGAGTTAAAGTCAGTTTGAATTCATACCATTTTTTATTGTTTCAGGTAAGAGTTGACAAGTGGTGTAACATCTGGAAAAAAAGTCCTAATAAACTCCATAAGGCCTAATTGATGAAGCTCTCATATCATTCATGGTGGTCAAAACATTAAATCCATTCTGTTCATTAAGAACAAAAAAAACACTCTGAAATTTGTCCAAAAAGAAAACTACAAAACTGAAATTTGCAATATCGCGATTTGCCAGAAAATCTCCGGTAAATAAATCGTTAAAAAGAAAAAGGAAAAGTAACATTTTATGTGAGTTTTCCTTATCACTTTGGTCATTTGAGGGATGGGCATGATATTATACTACTTGAGATTTTTTAACTCCTTATTCAAATCTTATCTCAGGATGTGGAATGCGTCCTGCTTTCGCCCGTGTGGTGAATGGCCAAGACGCCAGTCCCCACTCCTGGCCATGGCAGGTTTCCCTGCGTGTGGGAGGCAGACATATCTGTGGTGGATCCCTTATCAGAACTGACTGGATCGTTACTGCAGCACATTGTGTCTTTAGAAATCCCAATCCAAGTGGATACACGGTTATCGTGGGTAATAAGTTATTTTATTTAATCCTGTCATAAGTTAAACACCTTTAATTCTTTTTTAAGGCCAGGGCTCAGGGAAATCAAAGATAGATTAGAGGCGAGTAAACCCAAATCGTGTCAGGGGTACAAGATAGAAGTGTGGGAGAAAAATTGGAGAAAATTTGCAGTGGCACTAGTTTTTGATATGATAAACACGGATGGCTACTCGATTCTACATAAAATTCTACGCACCAAAATAATACAACTTCTAGAAATATGCGTACCAAAATCATATTCATTTTTTATCGGGACAAGCAGAGCTACATGAGGTGGGAAAATGACAGATGCGAGTTATTAGGTCTAAGGAGAACCACGACTGATATTGCGAGCGCACCTGATTAGGGTGCAGTTTATGAGTAATTAAACGGTGTCCATAGAATCCCGTCTAAACAAAAATTTAGTCCGAAGTCCTTCGTTATCATCTTCACGACAGGGGCCCACAGGCGACAAGGAAGTACAATTGTGCAGGAGACCTTTGGAGTTAGGACTCTTCACAAACACAGTGGCTTTACCATGAGTAACTTGAAACATGACGTCGCAGTTCTTCAGCTGGATGGAAATGTAAAGCTGAGCGACAAAGTGAATACAGTTTGTCTCCCAGACCGAGATGCAGATCTAAATTCCCAGTGTTATATAACAGGTTTGTAATGTTCTAACCTAAGCTGGAAGCTGTAGCAAAACTCCTCGAAATATTCAGCTTTCCTATTTTGGGGTTGGGCGTTGGGGATCAAGATCCGATCTATTCTGCCCAGAAGGAGAAGCATTTTGTGCATGACTAGTAATACCGACGATCATTACTTGATACTTGGTAGGCAACAAAGAGGTTATAAAAAAGTTCAGCATTTCAGATGTAAATTAAAAAGTTTCCTTCACAAATTTAGGTTGTGACTGTCATACTAAGCTGTTTAGTTGCATATAGCTTGCTTTCAAGGAGAGCTGGGCTGTATAAGACTGCCAATAGATGCTCAGGGGACATATATAAATGATATACTTTGCTGCTAGGATGGGGACGCATAAGTGGTAACGGGCCAGCAGCAGACATACTGCAACAAGCTAAGCTCCCGCTTGCATCGCATGAGGCTTGCGTGAGAAAGTACGGTAACTCGATTGATAGGGGAGCTCATCTGTGTGCTGGAGAAGGTCGAAGTGGTGCCTCAGGGGGATGTAATGGGGACAGCGGTGGTCCGCTTGTTTGTGAGATGGGAGGAAAGTGGTATCTGCACGGCGCTGTCAGTTTTGGGAGGCGAAGTTGCCCAACAACCCACTTTACAGTGTTTGCAAGAATAACCACCTACAAGTCGTGGATATTGCAGATGATAGGTGAGTCTAGGTGTTCAATTGTAACTTATAAAGTAATTGCTGTTTGACAAAAAACAAAATAAGCATCTAGCTTTTGAGCAAAATCTTCTTGCGTTTACGTAAATAGTTTACGAACGTGAAAACCAGCTAATACCCGCCGAATTTCATTGTCGTAATTGATTGCTTCTGATGAAAGTTACAGGCGGCCAATTTATGTTATAATTTAAATTGATAAAGTGAAATTATCCTTTACTGTTCTAATTAGCTTGCACTTCTATCGTTTTTGTCATCAGATATAAAGAAGATCATGACGCGCACGAAGAATTGTTTTTTGAACATGTGATATACCATCATTTTTTTAAAATCAAAGTTGAAAACGACTCTGACTTAAATATGATATAATTTTACCTTGGTTTCCAGGAGAGGAAAGCGGAGGACCTAACACACCAATGCCTCCTCTGCCATCTCGCCCACCCAGTAAGTATTAATAAAGATTTTTGTATCAGGAAAATCTGTCTGCAGTAGTAAAACGCTACATGTTACGAATTTTTTTTCGAAAATAGCAAACTAGACACGTAGAATACACCTAGTTTTAATTATAATTACAAACTATACCAAGAGGCTTTCCATTAAGATCAATATTTTTTAGTTTTTAACAATTCATTCATTCCTTTGGGAGTAGAGAAGGGGAAGGGAGGGGGAAAGGA